CATTTTTGGAAAAAATTAATATTTTTTATTATTAGGTAATTTCTTTCTGAATTTTCTTAGTGTTTCGCTATTTAAACATTGTAAGCCCTTCGAGACAACCCGGTTATGAATGAAATAAAGTTTTCTTGAATTTCTCTTTGTTGAAATTTTTTTTGTGTGAATTTTTATCTTTTCTATAATTTTCCCCTACATCACAAATAGAGGCTAAATTTGATGTACCGTTGAAGTGATTTTTACACCAAATAAACCTGAAAGAGGTGCTATTGAAGTGATTTTCACAATTGTAAACTGCACGTTCCTCGATGTGATTCACTAACATTCTTGATTCAAAGATTCATAAGGGCCGGATTTGTTGACTTTTGAATCATAATATATATATTTGACTATTTTGACGGTAGTCTTGATATAATTTTTCACTCGGAAAAATTTTGAAATTTTGGTTTTTTTGTTTATGTTTGGCTTTATTTTAAATGAAAATTGTCCATTTAAGTTTTTTTTTTTTTACAATTGATTATGAAATTTGTTACCATTGCCAAAAAGGGGAAAAAAAATTTGCTTGAAAACTATTTTTTCGTCAAAGTTTCATGTTCGTTTGGTTTCGTTTTACATGGAATTTGTCCATTAAAGTGAAATTTTTTTATATAATTGGTTATAAAATTTGTTCCAATTGCCAAAAAAATAAAAAAAGAAAAAAAAGAAAAAAAAGGAAAAACAGCCGCACCTGGAAAAGCTTTTTTCCTCAATTTTGGAGAAAACAGGTCATGTGGACTTGGTTGGTGGAAATTGATTTCTTGACAACTTTTTCCCTATCAAAAAAACAAATTGGAGGGAAATAGAATTTGTTTTCCATTTTCCCTAGAAAATATACACTATCGAACAGGCCCTTACTAAAAGTTTCCAGTTCTTCTCTGTCAAATGTTCATAAGAATGCATCACAACATGGTTAGTATACACCAAAAGATTTTGCTACTTGTAGCTCAGATTGAAATCCTGGTGTACAATCCTCTGACAAATAGGAGGCCCACAATAAAAAAATAATAATCGTCGGCACCCCGAGAAAGCCTATACACCGGGGTGTCAACATCTTAGGGTAATTAATACATATGATCAAAATTGTAGACCACCTTATTGGAACCCCATACGTGAAAAAGAAACAAGAAAATTTGGGATAATTAGTACATGGATTAGTCTAAATGTACACAATTCATTACCTAATGGATTACACCCCCTCACATGGAGGAGGACCCACATACAATAAAATATTCGTAGACCCCCCTCCGTGTGAGGGGGGTGTAATCCATTAGGTAATTGATTGAGTGTACATCTAGCACAACCCTATTTGAACATTTTTCTAATGGAGTTTGTCATTTTCGTCTTATTTCGTCAATTCTTCTGTCGAATATATTTAATTAACGCAAATATATCTATCATTTGCCTTCATTGATCAATTGCTCATATCGTTTCAATTTTAATATTTGAACCCTCAAGTTGACCTTTCTTTGTACAAAATGTCATATCTTATATTTTTCTCCATTAAAATATCGTAAAATGATTAATTTACCCCCTATTTAAATAAACAAATAGAAAATAAAGAAATAATATTTAAAAAATAAAATAATTGAAGCTAGAGTTCCAATTTTTTTTTTTAAAAGAAGTACAAATTAGCCTCACACAAAATAATTTAAAACATACTAACAATAAAAAAATATTTCGAGCTTGTTTGAGCCATATTTTTTTCTTAAGAGTATATTTTGGAGTAGTAGATTGATAGAAAATGTGTGATTTAAAAATAAAAAAAAAAAATTGGGTTTGCATATAATATTATTTTATTGAAAAATGTGTGGTTGGAATGAAAAGAGAAAAAATGTATTTTGAAAATAATTGAGATCAAACAAGGGTGTCATCTTTTCAATTAACCACACCAAACCCTAACACCTACCCACCACTACCACCACCAAAATAATTAAAAAGAGAATTAAAAGTATAAAAATAAGAAAATAATTAAAAATTGAAAAAAAAATAATAATAATAAAACGTCCCCATTCATTTTCGCACCCTGGCCACAACCATCACCCATCCATCTCATCCCACCATGGCACAATATTTTCTATCTTCTTGTTGCTGGAGCAAGGGTGGCAGTGAAATTAGGATCGGTAGTAATGGCCGCTCTAAGTGCGTTGGCAAAAGATTGGTTGTGGTCGGCCTTGCTTGGCAAGATGGATTAGATATCTTGAGACATCTCGAGCCCTAAAAATAAAAAATAAAAAAAATATTACTTGTTTAACAGGAAAATGAATAGAAACTCTATAAATTCTGATTATGAGGACGACGTATGGAATTAAATTGATTCGAATTCGAGGGCCTTTGTGAGATGCTCAATGGACACATTTGAGATTAGTGTGTGCTGCTTAGAGATGATCTTTTATTTGCTTTCTTTGATGGTTGGATCGGACTGTCGGAAGCCAGAGGGTAAAATCTAATGACTTAACCTTAAGCCATTATTATGTTTGAATTTGATTCCTTTCCATCAAATGCATCACAGTTTGACATAACTACTTGTATTCACGCTTTGAGATATATAATTAATGCTCATTCAATTCTCTTTCGACTATTGAGGATTTTAAAACTTGCATTTGCTAGTTATGTATAATGGACACAAGGGATTTTAAACGAATCCAGGGATTTGGAGTTACGAATATGTAGTTATGGCACATATTGTGTTTTCGGATTTATACTTTTTTGGTAGTTATCTGACATTGAGTCTATTGAGATCTAGAAATATCTTGTTATGAACGTATTGAAACACTTTCTTTTGATTTTAGTCCCATGAAACAGTGTTTGATATCGAATTCAAATAAAACAAATTGTAATATCATTTTTTACTTGAACTTTTAACTAAAATTTATGTTAGCATTGTGTTTTTTGTTTTCTACTCATGTAGTGTCGTATAATGCTGTTCAGAGTTACGATAGGATATTTCGTTATCACACGGAAGTTTCGTTATCAAGCAAGATTTTTTGGTTCCTTTTTATACAATCTTAGAAGATATTGCCTAAACTAAAAAATATTCTCAAATGTTTATCAACAAAAACAAAATATAAATCAAATGCAAACTCCTATGTTGCCCTATTTTTTTTAGAATCATGCTACATTTACATTTTATTTGACAACAAGTTTGATATTGTGCCACATGTCTCGACATTATTGGACAGTTTTCAAATAAAACACGTTTTCCCGCCCATTTCAATTTAAAACTCAATGTAATGTAAACCACAATGTACACAAGATAATGTACAGTTTTCAAATAAAACACATTTTCCCGCCCATTTTATCCTTTTTTTTTAAGAGCATTGCTAGTAATACACCACCCCATACATAAGGGTCTACACCCCTCTCACATGGGAGGTGGGACCCGCTCGAATAAAAAAAATATTATTTTAATGGGTCCCACCTTCCATGTGAGGGGAGTGTAGACCCTTATATACAATTGTTGATGTACAAATAGAAATTTCCTTTTTTTAAAAACATGTAAAACTTCATTAATTTTAGGGGAAAAAAAGGAAGTTCAAAGGTTTGAGACGTGGCAACAAGGCAAGTCTCAAGCCTTACAAGTAGAAGTGTAACTATAATAAGCTTAAGTGCAATAATGCATCTCTCTATTTTTTTGTGATAAGAGTGAATAAACGACGAGTTAAAAGAAAAACAATAAAATTTCAACCGAGTTCTTAGTATGACCCGGGAAAACTGAGTTGGCTCAGCTCATAGTAACTGTAGACTCGACTGAGTTGTGGGAAAGGGTTTTAGGACCATTTACCAAGCAAAATCCCTACCCGCAAAACCCCACAACTATACTCCCCCAATCCAACATGGAATTCCAATCTGCCTGTGCTTTCCTTCAAAATCATCCCCGTTCCACCCAGTTTTATCCTCAACTTCATCCCGTAAGTAATTCACTTTATTTGATTTCAATTACTTTGTCATTTTCTCACAATGATAACGAGAAGTAATTGTGAATTGTGATGTATCCATCATCTAATCTTTCTTGTGCAAAAAATCTTTGTTCTTTAGGTTTCCAAGCTCAAAAAACAAAGGTCCAGCTTTCAGATTGAGTTCAAATGTATGTTGGCTAGATTTTTATTTCATTTTCGTTTTTAATGTGTCATTTTTGAAATCTTGGATGTTTTTGACATGCGTATTTTTATTTTTTTGCTTTATCCAGCTTTTTGGCCTCATTTAAAGAGAAGAGGAGTGGTTATATGTGGTGCTGATTTGAATTCATCAAGGAAGTTGGGTTTTCGCGTAAATGCTAGCAAGAATTCGGAACCTTTTCGCGGTAAATCTGGGTCTGTTTCGTTTGTCAATATAACTCACCAATCTGTTGAAGAAAGTCAATTGGTATCAACTCCGTTTAAGGAAAACACTGGCTCCTTACTTTGGGTTTTGGCTCCAATTGCATTGATTTCGTCACTGATTGTTCCCCAATTCTTCATTGTCAATGCCATTGAAGATTTCATAAAGAATGAGGTTCTTGCAGGTATCGTAAATACTTTATACACGAGTAATGATGCTTCTAGGTACGATTATGTACTGGAACATGCAGGTCAGAGGAAGTGATTATGCGAATTTTCATTATGCTAATGAGTTGATTTAGTAGTTAAGTTCTAGAAATAGTATTCATTCGAATACGATTGTCCTAAATGTGAAAGTTTATCTCCCATCTTCCTGACCTTTCTAGTAGCATCAGGCTCATCTATGGAATATATAAGCGGTCAATTAAGATCTGTCATTTTGTTTTGGGTTAGTGAACTACTCTGATGCTCGGTTTGAATCAAAAGGCTGAGATTGTGGTAATCAATGACAGATGTGGACTTAGGGTCTCCAGTGGTAAGTTGTTGGAATGTTCCATGATCTCTGTTTAACGTGTATGAGCAGGATTACGCTAGACATGTGATACTTCCTCCAAATCCAACTCATTGCAAAACCCAATTGTTATCCCATCCACCAAAAATCAATCTTCCCACTGCCACCCTCTCAAAACAGTTGATGCGAAAAGAAAAAGGAGATAAGGCATTGAGTTTCAATTGTTTGACATTTATATTTGTGTGTGTATAAGTTTATGGGTATCTGTATGTACAACGTGATGTGTGTACGCAGATGCAAACTAGATTTGGAGGAGGAGATAGCATTTGGATTAAGTAAAATTGTTGGACATAGTTGTTTACAATACGAACTGACTTTAATCTCGGCAAAGGCTTTAGTTCTCCATAAAATTCATTTTGAAGTTCTTGAAATTCAATTTAAGTATAAACTTGTAATAATGTCTTATTGGAAAAGCATCTTTCTTTATAGAATTGGTTAAATTCAGTAAACAAGAGTGCAAAAAAAGAAAAAGGATATGCTAAGGATGCAGTTGCTATTAAATATGTACAACAGAAACAAGAATGTAAATTTATGGCGTCTTAGATATTTAGAAAATTGTGTATTAGATTATAGGATGAGTATGTTGGATTTTGATATTATTGTTTTATATCCAGTCATGTCATGGTAGCCTTGAATTACTATATGGATAGACATCTGGTGCTGTGTTTCGGTCTTTGAAATAATAGAGAAGAAGATCAAATTAGCATTGACTTCTCTTATTTTGTTCTATTTAGCTGACTTACATCTGCATGAGTGCACCTCATTTTGTTATATTATTTTGCCATTCTCATTTTTAATAACAAAAAGTTAGCATTTTCCATATAGTTATTATGCAGACATAATTGTCTCATTCTTTTCTGAGCTAGTGTTGGCCGTAGGCTTGTAAAAGTTCTGCAAATCATCTTTATTGTCCAAGGACAACAATCTAATCTATTTTTATGTCAATTTTAATGCAGAAATTGTCTCTTCATTTTCTACTGAGGTCGTTTTTTATGCTGGACTTGCAATATTTCTGCTAGTAACCGACCATGTTCAGAAACCATTTCTGCAGTTTAGCCCAAAGAGGTGGAGTCTTATCACAGGCCTGAGAGGATACTTGACATCTGCATTCTTTACCATGGGCTTCAAGATTTTTGCCCCACTCCTAGCAGTTTATGTCACCTGGCCAGTGCTGGGCTTACCTGCATTGGTTTCAGTACTTCCTTTCTTATTTGGCTGTTTGGCTCAATATTTATTTGAGAGACGTCTTGACATGAAGGGATCATCCTGCTGGCCGTTAGTGCCTATTATCTTTGAGGCAAGAAAATTCTCTGTCGATTTATATTCTCTCCTTGTAAAGAGAAAAGTAACATTAAAAGGGATCTATATTTTCTTTGCAGGTTTATAGGATATATCAGTTGACAAGGGCTACCAGTTTCATGGAGAAGTTAATGTTCGCAATGAGGGGCGCATCTGTAACCCCCACAGTTTTGGACAGAACTGGTGCATTAGTTTCCATGATTACGACTTTCCGTGTCCTAGGTTTGGTTTGTCTTTGGTCCTTGCTAACATTTCTACTTAGGCTCTTTCCATCTAGACCAGTTGCAGAGAACTACTGATTTGTTTAGATGATGACGCACCTGCATGTTTTGACCAATATTATTACAGTTCAATGTTCTTAATCACTTCAAATTTTTGTTTATTGTTGGCTATTCTTGTTTCAGTTTACCCGTATATCATTACAACGACATCACTCATTTTAATGTATAAAATTTCAATATCGGCACTCTGATCGTTTAAGCACTTTATATCACAATCATTAAAGTGAAAATTTTCTAATTCGGTAATATTGACAAATAAACAAAAGATTGCAAATGGATTGTATAACGGATTTAGAATACAAAATGTGTATGGCAGATAGAGAGAATATGCTATACACGTGAAATTGGAAGGCTGCTTCTCCACAAATTCTGAGTTGACCCTTCTTGTTAGTGCTAGGTTTTCTGACTGTAGATTGAAGGTTCGGTTGTCATAATTTCTTCAATCAAATAAAAAAGAAAAACTTCACTCTTTTTTTGACATCTCATCTGTACGTAAGTATGTAAATAACTATATAACTGCTTATGTATAAATAATATTATTTTAAAAGGTATTCCATCTGGATGGTACAAACTTAGGCTGCAGATCAAGTTGGAAAACATCACAAAACTCTCTAATTAATGATTTATAAGCAGTATCAATCAACTTGCTGTCATCAGCGTGATCAATATTTGCTGCTCTATGCCCGTTAGACGACAGAGTTTCTCTTAACAGTCCTTTATTCTTCCAACTTGACGACCCGGGATCACGCATGGAACTATCTGATGAAAGGGTGCAATATCTGTGGTGACATTCAGTGCCAATCCATGAAATGTTACCCATTGTGATACTTTTATACCAAAGGCTGCTAATTTCTTGTCTCCTGAAGGTGTTAAGATCCCATATTAGTTCCAATGAAAACATCAAAGACAGGAGAAAATTAACAAATCTTCTTGAAAAGCTACATAACCTATGAGACAAATGATAAACACACACAATAATTAAGGAAATAAGTGAATTTTGGGTACTCAATCCTTCAGTTTTAAAGAACACTAAGCACAGATGGACAAGGAAACCCAGAAGGACAAAAATGCTAATTGGATTATCAAAACAACTAAACAAGAACATTTATAAAGAAACATGCTTATTCACACAAAAAATACTTGTTGTGTATTATCATCTATCTTTTACAGATTGATGAGGTGTCAAAAGCAAGTGAGGGATTTTTTTAATTTGATCGATGAGATTCTAATCCAATCAAATCTCGCCACATCATCTGTTGGTAAACTAATTTGTAAGTTGTGATGTATATGTAACACAACCGTATTCGCATAGCCTTTTGAGATATTTTCTAGAGTAAGTTCCTTAAAGACCAATAGACATAATATCGTGAGCAAGGTTTTCCTAACGAGGCAGTTACATTTCCAATCCTCAAAACATGTTAAGATGAAATTAATAATCCCACAATCTCCAAACAATCAGATATATTGATTTCCAAATGAAAATCCTTGCATCATCATAAAAGATCGTTCTTCAAGGATGAAAGAACAGAAAAATTGGAATAAGACCGAAAAGGTATTTTGATTTCTATATGGATTTATCTGGTGACAAAAGAAAATGAAACGATCACCCTCTTACGTGCAATTTGGTGACTGTACACAAGGCTGATTTACATACTTATTATTTGCATTATGCCATATAAATGTGTCCCAAGATGAACCAACAATCATTGCATCAGACATTCAAGTTATGCAGAAATAGATCCTGTTATTCTTCTTCCCAAAAGAGTAAACCTTTCATATTGTAAGCTAATTTGCATGTATCAACATAAACCAACAAACATTGGAAGATGAGTTACGAGACATACCAACCCAAACACCAGTTAAGCCATCAACTCATGATGCATCGATAGCAAATGTCGCAGAAAGAACACGAATGACCACCTCTCAAGTGCCCTGAGGTACCAATGAAGATCCATCTTGTGATATTTGAGATTGATAATGGGGTACATAACTAGCTACATCACAACAAACATAATAACAAAACATGTCAGTTCCAAAATACAAAAAAGACAAGATACATAATCCGCATTAAAAATAGGTGGATATTCTTAAGAAAATTTTTGAACAAAAGTCATCAGCAAGTTCTCAAAACCAAATACAGCGACAGACTAATAAATTTGGGATCGAATATGTGAATCTTTTTCTGCCACTCTGTCAACAAAACACAATCATCCTGATAACATATACCACTTCAAAGCAGAGTTCTTATCTCTTGATGGCATATGTTTTAATCCACCGGCAATTAAGCACTCTCATTATAAATTCACTAATCACTCAAATGAGAATTCAAATTATGTAAGTTTGGTTTTACTCTATCATTATGCAACTTTAAAGTTTCAAAGAATGTCTAAATTGCAAAAATCCTAACAGTATACGATCTCCTCGAGCGCTAGAGGAATCAAACCTACGTAAATTTGCATCAATTTCATATAGAAATCGGCGTATATACCTGACCAGGCACATGGAATGTAACTTCGCCACCGCGTTCTGTTCGATGCGAATCGAAAGGAGCGTTCTTTATATCAAAATTTAAGAATTCTTCTGAACTATCAGTGCCCAATGTGTAAACTGGCTGGTGTTGCAAAATAATTAGTGTATCAGAAAAATCTTCCTCCTTTGTACTCAAAATTTTTCTCTCTTTCACAATGGCCTTTCACCATGACCATGCCTCTACATATGGAACTAGCTCTTTATGCAAATCATAGTAATCACACCTACCTTCTTCTGGGTTTATGGGTCATGAAGATAATGTAGGAAAATTGTTTCAATATTGGATACCGGATTCGCAGTAGCAGATTCAATAACTTTGAATACAATCGATTCAAATATACACAACAGATTTAATACAGTAGCAGATTCGACAATATGTTAAGCTGCAGTAAAGTGTAACAGTTGATTTAAGTAGAACAGATAACAAACATGATTTAAAAAAAAAAAAATGAATCTCAAAAGTTGGTGGGGCACCTGCCCCCCAGGACCCCCCTTGGGTCCGCCCATGTATACATGTAAAATTGGAAGGCTGCTGCTCCACAAATTCTGAGTTGCCCCTTCTTGTTAGTGCTAGGTTTTCACGACTGTAGATTGAGGGTTCGGTTGTGCTACATTTACATAATAGGTTTACACATATATGATGTGGTGAGATATGATTCCATCAAGATTTTTTCAACTAAATAAAAAAGAAAAACTTCACTCTTTTTTGACACCTCATGTGTATGTAAACATGTAAACCATTATATAATTGTCTATGTATAAGTTGCATTATTTTTAAAGGTTTTCCATCTGGATGGTACAAATTTAGGCTGCAGATAAAGTTGGCAAACATCACAATACTCTAATTAATGATTTATAAGCAGCATCAATCAACTTGCAGTCATCAGTGTGATCAATATTTGCTGCTCTATTTCCGTTAGACGACACAGTTTCTCTTAACAGTCCCTTTATACTTCCAACTTGACGATCCCGCATGGAACTATCTGATGAAAGGGTGCAATATCTGTGGTGACATTCAGTGCCAATCCATGAAATGATACCCATTGTGATACTTTATACCAAAGGCTGCTAATTTCTTGTCTCCTGAAGGTGTTAAGATCCCATATTAGTTCCAATTAAAACATCGAAAACAGGAGAAAATTAACAAATCTTCTTGAAAAGCTACATAACCTATGAGACAAATGATAAACACACACAATAATTAAGGAAATAAGTGAATTTTGGGTACTCAATCCCTCAGTGTTAAAGAACACTAAGCACAAATGGACGAGGAAAACCTAGAAGGACAAAAATGCTTATTGGATTATCAAAACAACTAAACAAGAACATTTATAAAGAAACATGCTTATTCACATGAAAAATACTTGTTGTGCATTATCATCTACCTTTTACAGATTGATGGAGTTTCAAAAGAAAGTGAGGGAGTTTTGTTTTTTTTTTTGTGTTTTTTTTTTTTGATCGATGAGATTTTAATCCAATCAAATCTCGCCACATCATTTGTTGGTAAACTAATTTCTAACAACCGTATTCGCATAGCCTTTTGAGATATCTTCTAGATTAAGTACCTTAAAGACCAATAGATATAATATTGCGTGCAAGATTTTCCTAACGAGGCAGTTACATTTCCAATCCTCAAACATGTTAAGATGAAATTAATGATCCCACAATCTCCAAACAATCAGATATATTGATTTCCAAATGAAAATCCTTGCATCATCATAAAAGATCATTCTTCAAGGATAAAAGAACAGAAAAAAATGGAATAACTCCGAAATGCTATTTTGATATCTATATGGATTTTATCTGGTGACAAAAGAAAATGAAACGATCACCCTCTTGCATGCAATTTGGTGCACCGTACACAAGGCTGATTTACATACTCATTATTTGCATTATGCCATATAAATGTGTCCCAAGATGAACCACCAATCATTGCATCAGACATTCAAGTTATGCAGACGTAGATCCTGTTATTCTTCTTCCCAAAAGAGTAAACCTCACATATTGTAAGCTAATTTGCATGTATCAACATAAACCAACAAACATTGGAAGATGATTTACGAGACATACCAACCCAAACACCAGTTTCGCCATCAACTCGTGATGCATCAATAGCTGTCGCAGAAAGAACACGAATGACCATCTTCAAGTGCCCCGAGGTGCCAATGAAGATCCATCTTGTGATATTTGAGATTGATAACATGTCAGTTCCAAAATACAAAAAGACAAGCTACATAATACGCATTAAAAACAGGTGGACATTCTTAAGAAAATTCTTGAACAAAGTCATCAGCAAGTTCTCAAAACCAAATACAGCGACAGACTAATAAATTTGGGATCGAATATGTGAATCTTTCTCGGCCACTCTGTCAACATACCATAATCATCCTGATAACATATACCACTTCAAGGCAGAGTTTTTATCTCCTGATGGCATATGTTTTAATCCACCGGCAATTAAGCGCTCTCATTATAAATTCACTGAACACTCAAATGAGAATTCAAATTATGTAAGCTTGTTTTTACTCTATCATTATGCAACTATAAAGTTTCAAGGAATGTCTATATTGCAAAAATCCTAACAGTATACGATCTCCTCGAGCGCTAGAGGAATCAAACCTACGTAAATTTGCATCAATTTCATATAGAAATCGGCGTATATACCTGACCAGGCACATGGAATGTAACTTCGCCACCGCGTTCTGTTAGATGCGAATCGAAAGGAGCGTTCTTTATATCAAAATTTAAGAATTCTTCTGAATTGCCAGTGCCCAATGTGTAAACTGTCTGGTGTTGCAAAATAATTAGTGTATCAGAAAAATATTCCTCCTTTGTACTCACAATTTTTCTCGCTTTCACAATGGCCTTTTGCCATGACCATGCCTCTACATATGGAACTAGCTCTTCATGCAAATCATAGTAATCACACCTGAAATTAGGATTAAAAGTACACTTTTGAAAATTATTCTGTTAGAACAATGAAATTACCTTCTTCTGGGTTTATGGGTCATGAAGATAATTGAACTGATAAGAGATGAATGAATTTTGTGCGCTGTTTTTGATGGACTACGAGTTAGACGGTGGGTTTATGCTAAAATGGGGATTTACAAAGATAATCACGTCTTTATAATGGTAGATAAAAGGGCTTTTTAACTGAAGTTTATAATTTCGAGTATTAAAGTTTTCTTTTAAAATAAAATCAGAAGCCTAATGAAATTAGTATTTATAAAAAAGAAAATGATAAGTGTACATTAGGGAGTACATAAGGGTGTCTATAATGGACACCTGACGCCCCCCTATTGGATGAAGTGCTGGCCTTACCTGCACTCCATCCAATAGAGGAGCGTCGGGTGTCGATTATGGACACCTTTATGTATTCCTTAATGTATTTGTAGCATAACTCTTATAAAAATTGTGAAGGTGCATTAACGGAGTGGCGGCACGAGGTTAGTTGTGGTGGCGGCATTGAAGAGACTCTCATCCTGCCCTTTGGGCGTGGCGCAGCCACCAACGATTTGGGCTGTTAGAAGTTAGAACACATCTGGGCTGTTATTCAATAACTGATAGTAAGTGTCACGGTTCGTTTGATTGCAATGGTGGAAAATGGGTGGAAAGAAAATGAATTTTAGGAAAAATAATTGTCTAGAACTTATTTTGTAGGGAATTGTTAATTAAGTGTGTTTGACAGGTAAAATTTTCCGTCCGAAAAATTTTTTAAATTTTGGATCTTTTTGTTCACGTTTTGCTTTATTTTACATGAAAATTACCCATTAAATTGATTTTTTTTTTTTTTACAGTTGGTTATGAAATTTGTTAACATTGCCAAAAAGTAAAAAAAAAAAAATTGCTTGAAAACTATTTTTTAATCAAAATTTAG